GAGGCTAAAGCTCTCCAAGAAAGCCAGTTTGGATTAGAGACCCCTTTCTTGCAGCAGCACCTTGGGGGTGGGGTGGGGTGGGAGTGAAAATCTCATGTCTGTTCTTTCCGCTGTCCCCCAGATGGCCCCACCCACTTCCTACTTTGTGGGTGTGGAGGTGGCATCCAGAGCCTCAGCCTGAGATTCATATCTGTGAGTCAAATCTCCCAGTGATTTCCTTCACCTCTCTATCAGGTTCATCCTGGATTTTGTCTTGCCAAACATAAGAGATTCTTGCTGCTGCCCTCCCCCTAGGGGGATCAGGAAGGAGACCTATTTCTGATCCTCACTTAGGGATCTGCCCCCAGCCCCAGCCCAGCCTGGTAATAAGATTAACTCTGCCTGTTTCTGTGGAGGAAGAGGGGACTGCCCTGGGCTGCAGAGGCAACAGAGTTCCCTGCTCCTCACTGAAGAGGACAGGGTGAGTGTTGGTGTTTCAACACCTGATATTGCATGATACCACATTTCCCATTCTCTGGGATGTCTAACATTTGTGGGACCAAGTGGAACCCTCAACTACTGTCACCTAGTCCCAAACTCAGAGATGACAACCATATGACATCCATCTTCAACTCTCAGTTGCTGGGGCCTGAGACCTGCTGGGGATCTGCTGGAGACAAAGGAAAGGCATCTACACCATCTGTCTACTGTGATTACATCAAATCAGGGGCATTCTTGCTCTCCTGGCTTCCCCTAAGCCATCCTCCCAGGCTGCCTGCGGGTACATCAGTTGTGCAGGAAGCCTTCCGGAGCTAGCCTAGAGGACTGGCCCTCAAGTTGCCTAACTCCCAGATGCCCTGCAGATATCCTGCATCAGTGTCTTGTGAGGGGCTGCAGGAATCTCAATCTGGGAGGGAAGGGTTTGTCAACCTTGGCACCTATTATGGTTTGGATGTAAGTTGTTCCCCTGAAAGCTCATGTGTGAGAAAATGCAAGAAGGCTTAGAGGAGAAATGACTGGGTCATGACAGCCTTAACCCAATCAGTGAATTAATCCCCCTGATGGGATTAACTGAGTGAAAATTGAAAGCAGGTAGGGTGTGGATGGAGGAGGTGGGTCCCTGGGGGCGTGCCTTGGGGTATATATTTTGTATCTGGGAGAGTGGAGTCTCTCTGCTTTCTGACCATCATGTGAGCTGCTTCCCTTCACCACTCTCTTCCACCGAGATGTTCTGCCTCACCTCAAGCCCTGAGAAATGGAGCTGGCGGTCGATGGACTGAGACCTCTGAAACTGTGAGCCCCAAAATAAACTTTTTCCTCTCTTAAAATTGTTCTGGTCAGTTGTTCTTTTAGCCACAGTAGCAAAAAAAAAAAAAAAAAAAGCTGATGGGGCTGGGGATGTGGCTCAAGCAGTAATGCGCTCGCCTGGTGTGCGCTGGGGGCTGGGTTCAATCCTCAGCACCACATACAAATAAAATAAAGATGTTGTGTCCACCGAAAACTGAAAAATAAATATTAAAAAAATTCTCTCCCTCTCAAAAAAAAAAAAAAAAAAAGCTGATGAAAACGGCACCATTGGCATTTTGCCCTTGGTAATCTTCATTGTTGGGGATGGGCCTTTGGGGTTGTAGGATGCTAAGCAGCACCCCTGGCTGTCACTCATAGATGACAGTAGCACTCCCAGTGTGACAATCCAAACATCTTTAAGGCTTTAACTGGGTGTGGTGGTGCATGCCTGTAATCCCAATGACTTGGGAGACTGATTGCAAGTTCAAAGCCAGCCTTAGCAATTTAGCAAGACCCTCTCTCAAAAATAAAAAACTTTAAAAGATTTGGGAATGTAAACAAAGTCTTTAAACATTGCCAAATGTCCCCCTGCATGGGGGTGGTTACCCTTGATTGAGAACCACTGACACAGGCTAATAATACCACATACTACCTCTTTTCAGTGAGCTCCCCCAGTTCTTTTTTCTTTTGTATTACTGGGGATTGAATTTAGGGTTGCTTAATCACTGAGCCACATTCCCAGACCTTTTTTATATTTTATTTAGAGACAGGTTCTTGCTGAGTTGCTGAGGCTGGCTTTGAACTCACGATCCTCCTGTCTTAGGGCTGGGATTACAGGCTTGGGCCACCACACCTAGCCCAGAGCTCCCCCAGTTCTAAGGCCTGCTTGCCCTTCTTCTGTTGAAGAATCGCTTGATCTTCATTAGCTCCCAGGATCTGTGTTTCCAAGTTAGTGGCATTTAAGCCCTCCTATATAGGCTATCCCTGGCCTGTGTTTCATCTTCAGTACCATTTCCCCTGCTATTCCTTTTTTTTTTTTTTTTTTTAATTTTTTTAGTTGTTGGTGGACCTTTATTTTATTTTATTTATATGCAGTGATGAGAATTGGACCCAGTGCCTCACATATGCTAGACAAGCACTCTACCACTTAGCTACAGCCCCAGCCGAGCTCCCTGTTATCTTGAGCTTTAGCCAATGTGGGTGTCTCCCCATGCCCACCTATCTATCTGTAGTCCTGCAATAACCTCAAGACCAGGGGTGAAAGGTGGGGAAAGAACCACCCCAGAGGATACTCCCCCTGTTGGGTTCTGTTCCTGAATTTTCTGGAGTCTATCCATGGCCTGGCTCAGAGTGGCTTGTTCAGCCCTGAAAGATGCAGGTCCTGAGGATTTTGACCTCACAAAAGACAGTCATGGATTCCATTATCCAAATAGTCCCCTCACCCTGCAGATGGTACAACTAGCAAAAAGATGGGGGATCTGTTTCCCATTTTTGCCTTCAAAGCCCCCTGCATCATCAAAGTCATCATAATCATATTTATTAATACTTCCTTTTCTTTCTTTTTATTTTGGTATTGGGAATTGAACCTAGGGGCACCTTACCACTAAGCTACATCCCCAGTCATTTTTATTTTTTATTTTGAAACAAGGTCTCGCTAAGTTGCTGAAGGTCTTGCTAAATTGCTGAGGCTGGCCTCAAACTTGTGATACTCCTGCCTCAACCTCCCATCATTGAGATTACAGTCATGTGCTACCTTGCTGGGTTTATTGAGCACTTCCTATATGCCAGGCTCTATGCTAAGCAGTTCATAAATTGTCTTATTTAATTTTAATTTTTATTTTTTGGTACTGAGGATTGAACCCAGGAGCACTTAACCACTGAGCCACATCCTCCAGCCCTATTTTGTATTTTTTTTTTTTTTTTTTTTTTTTTTAAATTTTTTAATATTTATTTATTAGTTCTCGGCGGACACAACATCTTTGTTTGTATGTGGTGCTGAGGATCGAACCCGGGCCGCACGCGTGCCAGGCGAGCGCGCTACCGCTTGAGCCACATCCCCAGCCCCTATTTTGTATTTTATTTAAAGACAGTTCTCACTAAATTGCTTAGGGCTTCACTGAGCTTCGCTAATTTGCTGAGGCTGGCTTGGAACTCTGAATCCTCCTGCCTCTACCTCCTGAGTAGCTGGGATTTCAGGCATGCACCACCGCGCCCAGCTGCTTTATTTAATCTTTATAACCATCCCATGCTACTTCATGGCACTATTATTTTCCTGTTTTTATAGGTGAGCAAGTTGCATTTCAGAAAAGTTAAATCACTAGCTTAAGGTTACCAGCTTCTGTTGCTGGCCTTCTATCATCATTTTTCTCTAATGTCGTTCCATCCCCAAGCCCCCAGTTATTCCCATGTTCCAGGACAGGAAGCTCCCAGGTTGCCTAAGACCCTGGTCCTTTTGTTCCCCACCCTCCCTTTATAGCTGCTCTCTGGAATTGTTTAGAAGAAGGGGACCTGGAGGGCAGAGGTTGTAGCTCAGTAGTAGAGCGCTTGCGGTAGCACAAGTGAGGTACTGGGTTGGATCCTCAGCACCACATAAAAAAATAAATAAAATCAAGGCATTGTGTCTATCTACAATTAAAAAAGATTTTTAAAGAGGTGGGGGGATTTGGCAGGAAAGGGGGCCCACAACTCACTGGGCCTAATCTCTGGACAATGAAGAACCAGAGAAGTGACCTTCTGGAGGTTAGGACAAAGGGCAGGGACAGGGTGGGCAGAGTCCAGCTGCCCCTCCTCCTTCCTCCCTTCAGTCAATCCCTGCAGCGGCACCATCATCGATCCACCTTCTCAGCAAGCTCCCCACACTGTCCCAGTCTGGGCCTAATTTGGCTTGAGGCCCTCACCTCTGGCATGGACAAGGGGATTGGGGAGCTCACTCCAGAGGGCTGGGAAGCAGACCTACCTTGAGGAGGGGTGTCAGGAGGGATTCACCACTTCCTCATCAATAAGCCCAAGGGGAGAAATCCTGGGAACTGGGGTGGGGGTGGGGTATCTTCTGGTTAGGGTGGGGGAGGTTCAGGGCCAGGACCACCCAGTTAGGAGCAGAAACGACCCAGCAGATTAGAGACCTGGATAAAGCAGCCGTCCAGGGCTGTAATTACCCCAGAGGAACCGGGAAGACACCAACCCTAGGATGTAGGAGGAAGGGCGGCAGCAAGGCGCCCAGGTCTCTCCCCATCCCAGCCATCACCAGAAAAGAGAAAGCGTAACCCTTGAGAGCTTTCTTTGCTACCTGCCTTCAAGCCACCCGACGTCTCCCGGATGAATTTAGATTGAGGTGGGTTTGGAAAAGAATTTAGACTCGATGCTGCCCACTCAACCCCAAGCCATAGCCCCCAGAATCCAGGGTAGGATTGCGAGTTCCCAGCCCCACTCCCCACTCCTCGGGTCCCAGTGGCGGGTGAGTCACCGGAGCGCTCCCTACATAGACTTCTCGCGCGGTGGCGCGTACCAACGCGGGACCGCAGGGGGAGGCAGCTCGGCCGGCGTCCTCCCAAAGCTGCGGCGCCCCCTCTGCGTTGGTCACGGAATGGAGGTCCCGAGGTTTTGAGCGCCGCGACCCAGGGCGGGGCGGGGCGGGCAGGGTGGGCCTGTGGTGGCTCTGTCCCCAGACTCTTCAGGGACGTCTCTCCCTGCATTGCATTTGGTACGCTCCAGCAGAAGAGGCCAGGCCCAGCCCGGGCGGTACAATAGGGTTGGGCCGTGGCCGGGACTGGGCCAGCGCCGGGCACAGAGCAGGATCTCGGCCGGAACCCACAGACAGTGGGCGGCCGGCGACCCCGAACCTCGCAGGCCACCAGCCTCGACTTTCCCGGAGCGTCGCCGCCTCCGAGTCGTTGCCCGCCTGGCGGGCCCGGCGTGATGCTCCGCGGGACCACTGTCCTGGCTTCGGGCCGCCGCCGTCGCCGCCGCTGAGACCCCAAGACCCCCAGTGACGCCGCAGCCATGGAGAGCGGCCCGCACGCGGAGCCGGGTCCCGGTGCACCCCCAGGTATGCCGGGAGCCACACAGAGGCGAGGTGGGAGGGAGATCCAGGGCCGCCTGGAGGCCGAGGATGAGGCCGGCTGCTGGGCGGGTACCCCTCCCCCGCCGCGCCCTCTGACCACTTGGAAGTTTAAAAATAAAGGCTGCAGTGGTGGCCGGGGCTCGGGGCCACCGACGCATCTTCTGACAGCTGCCCCCTCCCCCACCCCGGGTGCCAGGACACACTGGGAGGCGGGATCCACGGGGACCAGCTCGGGAGTTTTGGAATGACCCTTCCACCGCAGCCCAGTGCCATCTCGCCTTCCCTGCCCCCATCCCTCTTCTCCATCCACCCCAGGCCCAGAAGATCGTCTTCTAACTGAGCTGGGGCATCTGTCCCTCTCCCCATCCCGTGTGGACACGTGTGTCCCTAGCCTGAATGTGTGTTGGAGGTCCAGATTCTCAGGCCTGGCGCCCTGCATACCGAAGCCTAGGTCCTAGTCCCTCCACTCCCGGGCCCTGGCCAGACCTCTCCCCCACCCCATCCGTCCAGCTGCCGCGCAAAGGGCCTGTTGCTGCTGCGAGCCGGCCTGGAGGGGAGGGCCGAAGAGGGGGAGGTCTCTAGTGGCGGCTGCCAAGTAACCCGCCGGATAAAGGCGAGGGGGGAGGGGGAGGCGGCATTGTTTGGGGCGAGGGCGGGAGCTGGGGAGTGGGCCGCCTCCCCAGCAGCCAGGCCTACTCCGGAGCCCACCCAGCCTGATTTGGGGAGGAGGGGGACATAAGTAAATCTGCTTGTCCTGCCCGCCCTCGTGCCCCGCGACTGTGGGCCTGAGTCTCGCATTGCAGAATGAAGTGAAGGTTCCTGGTCTGGATTCCCCGGACCTGCCACATCATTCTTCAGCCTGAGCTTTTGGATACCTCCCCGCTTATTTACAGAACACACACATACACGCACACTCACACTCACACTCTCCAGGCTCCAGACAACCAAAGCTCCCTTACCCACCGGACACCCCACCAACCACCGTTGCCCAGGACTTCTGCAAATCCCATTCGATCTAGGAGCAGCTGATGAGGGGGTGGGGACTGGTTTCTGGTTGGCCTGGTGGTGGAGGGAGGGCTTTTTCTCTTTCTTCCTGGAAGGGGAGGGAAGAGCATGATTACTGAGGACCCAAGTTTTGTTCCCACTGACTCAGGGGGGAGGTGGCCTTGTCCCCACACCTCCATGGAGTCCTAAGCCTAATCCCAGTCACCTCCCTGCCCCCTGGGGCATGGGACCTGGATGAAACAGTATCTGTGGGTGCGGAGAGAGCCCGGGACAAGGTGGGGCTGCTTGGCTGTGGGTGGGCTCCTCCCCATGCCAGCTTTGATGTGTGGAATGGACCCCGTAGGTGTGGGAGTTAGGAGGCTAAGGAGAGGAGGCTACTGTCAAACTGGTGGGTTTTAGGAGATGTATAGACTGCTGGAAACAAGGGTGTCTACATCTGTTTTGACTCTTCTGATCCTGGGAGGGGATACCCAGGGAGGCCCTGCCTGGTCCATTCATCTGCTTACAGACCCTCTGTACCTAAGAGTCCCCTGGCACTGCAGTATACATGGAGTGGATGGAGTGGTGACCTAAAGGGCTAGAGAGGTGCTAGATTATAACTAGGACACTTGGGTGGGGGTATAGACTGAATGTGAGGGTATGATGGGATTCTGAGCTGAATCAGGGTCATAAGTGAGGGCAGGGAGCTGCCTACAGGGTCCTGGATTGGGAAACTCTTGTTTACGCAAGGGTCCAAACGGAATTATATGAGAACTTGAGTCAGGATGGTGGCTAGTCCCTACACAGAGAGAAGCTGAAGGTGACAGGAGTCCCAGTGAGACAGGGCTTCCTGGGAGTAAATGTCATGCCCATAGCATGTGCCCTGGGAGAGTCTGAGACGTGGGCCTGAAGCTCTGAGTGCACGTGACAGACCCCTTGCCCCCATGTGCACTTGCACAGGGAGCACTAACAGCAGGCAGCACAGGACAGGGGAAAGTATGGCTCCTGCTTTTGGGTTAGAAAACCTGGGTGGAAATCCCAGTTAGATGGTTACTGACTACTGGACTAGAGCAAGTGATTACCCTCTGGAGCCACAGTCTCTGCCCCTGGAAAATGGGGTCGTGTTATCAACCATGTGGGGTGTGAGAGTTAGAGATGATGAACCTGAAGGAACCTGGCACGCAGACACCAGACACACACAATACAGTGTTATTACCATTATTGTGGTTAGGCTCATTGGAACTGGTGCCAGGAGGGAGGGATGAAATATGGGGGAGGTGGGGGTGGGAATTGGGAGGTAGTTGGTTTCAGAGTGTAGACTCTGGAATCAAACAATTTAAATTCCACCTCATAACACTACTGGGTGACTTCTGGTAAGTTGCTTAGCCTGTCTCAAGTTTTCCCATTGATAAAATGAGAACAATGTTAGAAATGATCTCATAAAGACATTAGGATCATTAAGTGAAATGAATACTTCAAATTCTTAGTCTAGGCCCTTGCGTGGAATTAGTTCTCAATAAATGCCAGCACTTTGATTTTTGTTGGTATTATTTCTAATTCATCTAGAGGCCCGAGGAGGAGAAGATGTGATGAATTAGAACTTCAGGAGGCAAAGAGGTCAGAGGGCCAGGGGAGGGGAGTGCTACACAGACATGTGACAATAGGAGTAGGAGAAGAGCCCCAAGAGGTGCAGACATCCTGCACTGTGCTGACGTGCCACTGTGCAGCTTGGTATTGGCTTGGCTGACATAGAGAACAGAGTCCCTACCCCGGGCTCAGCCAAAATGGGGGACGTTCCTAGCCTGGTGTAGAGGGGAAAGCAGGGGATGTTCACCTGGAGGGAAGTCATGTGTAGTGGTGATACAGTGGACAGTGTGCTGTGCTTGTGGAAGGCTTCGTGGAGGAGGAGGTATTTGATGTGGACCTGAAAGGACGAGTAGAAGCTGGGATTGGCACAAGGGGCCAATCATACATACATCAGCTAGCCTGACTGGCACCTCCCACTGTCCCTCCTTGGGCTAGTGAGTCCTGAGGCCTCTGATGAACCCCTAATGTGCAGTCATGCATATGCAAATGAGGAGGAGGGGTGCTAAGTCAGCTTGGCTCTCCTCCCCAAGATGGGCAGCTGCTCTTGGTGGGGCAGAGGTGAGGGAAGGAGCTGGAGGCTAAAAACCACACTATAGTGGTGGCATTTGAAGGCTATTAGGTAGGTCTCAGGTCTGACCAAGCCTGGAGGAAAGCAGCTGGAAACCATGTCCTTGGGTCCCTGCTGGGCCTTGGGGCCAGGGAGAGAGCCAAAGAGCCGGGCTCAGATAATGCAGCTTTGTTGGCTGGTGGTTGCTCTGCCTGGCACCCCAGGGCACAGCCTCCAGTGTTTCCTCCATCACCTCTCAGCTGCAGCTCTGCCCTGAGGGGAGCAGAGAGCCTGGTAAGGGGGTGGGGATCAGTTTTGCTGCCCTCCCTCAGTGCTCCTCACCAATTGTAGGAGAAGATGTGACATAGTCTCCCTGGTAATCCAAGTTATCTCCCCTCTATTGTCTCCCACTCCTATTTGTTAAGGGCCTTCACTGTGCCTGGCATAATGCTCATCACATTATGTGCATTGTCTCATTTTTTTTTTCTCATTATTTCACATGACAATCCCATGAGTAGAACTGATATTATTCCCATTTTATAGACCCAGAGAGGTAAAGGTACTTGCTTCCAGTCACACAGGAACTGACAGAGGCAGAATTTGAACTCAGTCTGTGCACCAAACCTCTATACTGATTTATCATTGCCAAGCTGGCCAGTGACAGGGTCTAGCCCATTTCTCTTCCATAACTGGTCTTCTGAGGGCATCTTGGTCTTGGGGACTGCCTGATCTTTTCTCTGGCGGGCAGAGGTAGAGCTAGCACAGCCTCTGAGTTCCCTGTGAATCCTACTTAGTTGGAGTCTGAGTAAGTTGGACCAGAAGGCAGTCACAGCCCTAGTGGCAGTGACAATCTAGCTCATGGGCCATCCCCAGATCTTGGCCTAGGGCTGGACCCTGCCCTCTGCCTCTGGGCCTGTGCCTGGGTTTCCCTGCTCAGGCTCAGGGAGGGACTTGGTGGAGCCCAGGCTGCGGGATGGGGTCATTTCCTGCCGCCTAAAATAACAGGAAGTGGGTGCTCCTGATTGGAGGCTGGAACAATGGCCGCCAGCTGGGCCAGAGAGCTCCTTCAGATCTGCGGTGTCTGTAGGGCTCCTAGCTTTATTGGGTTTTCTCATCCACAGAAGCCTCTGCCTGGCCCTGGTGCCCTATAGCCCAATTGCTGGGGCAGGCTGTACCCTCCCAGTCACTCCAGGCCAGGAGTGATGCTGCCCCTAAGAGTCTCCCTGTCCCAGTCCCACATTTAGGCTTCCCCAGCTTTGTCCTTCCTACCCATCCCTCATTCTTCTAGCCCAGACATCTCCAGAAGGCAGGGAAACCCAGGAAGCTGCCCCATTGGATAGCAGACTGAGGGGTAGAGACTGTCACCGCAATGGCTTCCAGACCCCTTTGCTACCCACCAAGCTGCATGGCTTAAGCATGTGTTATAATCTTGCTGAATCTGTTTCCTGATGTGTAAAGTGGGGTGTTGATAATATCTGCCTTATTAGGCTGAAGACGGAATGAACTACCGAGCTCAGTGCAGTTTGCTGGGCCTGACACAAGCCCAGCATCGCTGTCGCCAGTCAGACTTTCCCCAGGCCCAGGTGAAAGGGAGGGCAGAAGTGACCAGGATGAGGCTGGATAAATATATGGGGGACATGGAGTATCTGTGCATATATGTGTCTCTAGGTTTCCCTTGTGCTCAGAGGGGGTACCTGGCTCTGTGTATGTCTGTCTGTCTGTCTCAGGATGTGTGTGTGTCCCTGTGTGTTGTGAGAGAAAGCAGGACATATGTCCACTGTGTAACCAGGTATGCTGTTGGTGCCTCTCCCGTCTCTGGTGTGTCCTTGTCCATCTTGCCGTGTGTCTTTGCCCTCTGCCTGCTTCT